CTATGGCTTCTCGACCAGCCTACTTCATATCTTCCTCTTCCACCCTCCATCCCACTTTTTCACCTCCTCCACCTCTCCTGCCTCCGGGCCACCTCCAGCCTCGACTACAAGACCGGCCACCAGAGCCTGCTGAATGGCAGCGGCCCGTTTGCCGGCTTCAGTTCTGGTCTGGGCATCCCCGGGCCCGGTTACTATGGCGAGCCTGGAGCCGGCGGCTTGCCCGGCGTCTGCTCCACTCCTTTGTATCCGGGCCTCGTGAGCTGCGGCCTCGTGGAGACCGGCAGTTCGCCTGCCTCCACACATGCCAACAGTCTGCAACCGGCCGGCAACAACCTGCAGACCTACACTTCGAGCCTTGACCACCCGCACCACCGTCGCAACAATCACCATCACCACCAACATCAAATGGGCGCCGGGCTCTTCGGCGAAGCCGTCGCCTCCAGTTTGTCCAGCGTGGCTCGAACCCACGGAACGTGTAGCTTCGCCAGCCAAAGCGGAGCCACCAGGTCGACCGCGGCTGACGGCCTTTCCACCCCCACCCTGGCAACAGCCCCAACATGTACCGGTGCTGGTGGTGCATGTGTTGGTGGTGGCGACAATGACGGCCTCTTCCACTCGGAGCACACTCATCTTCAATATCAACAGCATCACCAATTGGCCGGCCTCGTTCCGGGGCTGGGCGATCTGCCGTTGTCGTTGGGGCTGGGACTGGGCCCGGCACACTCGCCCTCGTGTCCGTCGTCGGCGTTCGGCAGCGCCTCGGCCGCATGTCCCGCCACCCCCGGCGACGACGAGGCCGACAGTCTGTTGGCACCCACCGGCTCCGTGTGCACCTCGACCGGTGGTTGTCCGGCCGCCGGGCGGCACCAATGGCCGACTGGCCAGACGTCCGGTTGTCCCGGTTGCCAGTCGGCCTGTCAGCGCCGGACGACGGCGGCCGGTTCGAGTCCAATTCGGTACTTCGCGCAGGCGACGCAATCGCCGTCGGCCGTCGTCTATGCCTCGCAACCGGGCCCCACGAGTCACCAGTCTTCGTCGACCGGCACCGGCCTCCTCGACTCCGGACACGGACATGGATACGGACATGGACACAGACACGGACACGGACAC